CATGTGGACCCTTTTGCGTTTAAATGGTTACTGGTGACTCAGTGTCAACTGAATTGGTGGAAACAAGGCGAAGAAAATTTACCAGAGCAACTCCCCGCGCGTTTCGTGCTCAAGGTGGAGGACCATTCTAAAGTAACTGCCGATCTGGTCAAGTTCTGCGGTGTAAACCAGAGGGAACAGCCCAGCGCGGAGTTTGTGGAGGCCATGAAGAGGATCGCGGAGATTGTGGGACACTTGACGCCGGACAGCCCCGGAGTGGACGTGGAGGTGCCCATCAGAGTGGCATACGGCCCCGGACAGGGGGACAAGATAGTGGAAGGATATCACGAACAGCTGCTTAAAGGTTTGACCGGCGTGGCTCGAGCGGAGAAGGCTATTCGCAGAGAATGGGAGCGGTACTTACAGACTGAAGGCAGCAAGGAGGTCGCGCGTGGCTCGATTCGATGCACGTTTGCATTGGAGCCAATGATTGCAGACGTTCAAGTGGTGCAGACTATTGCCCAAACTGCTGGAACGCTGGAAAGACTGTTGTTTAACAACGTCTGGTTCTCGCTGCTATCTGTTCGAGCCAAATGTGCCAAAGGAGACCAGTCGGCCTCGCTGATTGCGTTCCGTCAGATGATGATCGCTGTGTTCGACGGAGCGCGTCGTGATCCTCAGTTGTCGAATACAAAATACCGGTCGCTTTCCGGTTCAGTGAAGCCACTTCAACTCGGCTCGCTGGTGCTGCACAACGACCTGGCGCTGGATCCTTTGGAGACTGTGGCCTTGTTTTCTGCTGCAGTACTGAACCAGACAACGCAGAAATTGTCGGTCTGGGTGGATCTAATGAGCCACGACCAACCGAAGACCAACTTTTGGTGGAAGTGGCTGGCCTACGGCTGCTTCTCGAAGCGAGCACGGACCCATTCTGCGCTGCAATCGCTTGACCTTGGACACGTCGGCAGTATCAGTGTTGCGGATGTCGAGACTTTTTTGGCGATCGTGGACTCCGAATACCCGGAAGAACTGCTGTTTGACTGTCCCCGTGGTTCAGTGGAGGGACGAGAAGCCAAGTTGAAAGACGGCGCGATGGTCCAGTACGATATTACGGCCAATGCTCAGCCACGCAGTGTGACGTTCCCATCGTGCAGATTCCTATTGCACACGTTCGGTGACGACGGCAGCAGCGAGTGGGTCAACGTGATCGTTCCAGGCTTTGGTCGATGCCGTGTGCGCCGTACCGATTTAGTGCTTAAACCCATCCGGAATGCATCGAACAAACGCCCCGTGTTGACGTCGTTGACGCTGAGATTGCACGCAGCAGCCATTTCCAACGGCCTGCCACGATTCTTAGCTGCAATTGGATCGTCACTTCAGTACTTGACGATCGAAAACCCGGGAGAAACAGTAGACCCCAACTTGATTCTTCGTTGCTGTCCCAACTTGCGTGAATTGACCTTGAACCGAGGACTGATGGACGTGCAGTTCAAGTTTGATTCCGGTGTTCCTAGTCAAGCGTTTTCTACACTTCGTCTGGATTGGGAGAATGTTGCAGGCCTCGCAACGACCTTGAGCAACACCAGTAACCCTCTTGTCAAGTGTGTGAGCCAGTTGAGAGTGCGCTTACCCACTTCGATTGAAGCCGATAACCGCGAATACGAGCTCCAACTGGTTCGACGCAGCCTGGAGACTCTGATGGTCATGCTCAATGCCAA